CCCCCCCCCCCCCCCCCCCCCCCCCCCATCCCCTCTCACGCTCTTCTCCTATCTATTTTTCTTGACTTTCGATTCCCTCGATTTTTCTGATAGCCACTTTCAAAATTCACGAAGCAAAAAAAATTACACTTATTATATAATACACGCGTGCACGTGTAAGTTGAGTTCGAAAGAATTGTCAACTCATAAAACGACCGTAATAAAGCTCGCAAATGTACCCTTGTAATATGCGAGTGGAGTCATTCCAGAGAATAAGAAGCCTTGTCAGCTCTTTGGGGCGATAAAAGCTGTTCGCGATTTAATAACGCAAAATTCATTTACTGCTGGGCCATCGAGGTCCGCGCGCTGCCATCATCCACCCCAGGAACATCTCCGTATTTTTTATTTTCATGCGAACGATCTTGTAAATGAAGCTGGTGGCCTCTTTGAGTAGGTTAAAGGAATCGCGTAGGGGCTGGATTATCTTTGTAAAAATGCCGGCGATACTAGACAATTCACACCTAATGTATCCTTCGGCGCTGCACGAATAATAATACTGTATACCATCATCATCATCATCATCATCATCATCATCATCATCATCATCATCATCAACAACAACAACATACGGCTTGAGCATGAAATTTTCTATTTCGACGGATGGGATCTATTCCCATCGAAAAACCGTTGAAACTGTAATAATACATTATGATTAATTAGATAGTTAGGTTAAAATTTTGTAATATCGTATAAAATACAATTTATTTATTGGATTATAGGCTCATTAGACCAAGTTAATTATAGCAATGGAATTTGATTGATTGCCATTGTTCGATGAATTTGAATGTTTATCTAGAACATTAACATTAATTGTGATAATAATGTAGGAATGTAACGATACTCCTTACATCAACATATTTTTCTAATTACTTTAAGATAAAGTACTTTCGTGGGTAAAAATTTCATAATAGCCATTAAACCGACAATATTTTCTCATAATCTATAATGCTGCCTAGTCCATAATATCATTCATCCTAACATCGAGACTTTCTATAAAATGTTTTATAATTGTTTTAATGCTACCAATTGAGTGAGGTGAAGCGTCCGTTATTTTCGTATTTCTTATTATACCTTGGATATCTGTAATGTCTAATAGCATCATATTTTTCTATTCATGATGCATTATTTATGCGACCTATTCGTCAAAGTTCGATGGAAGCTATAGCAGCAGCAGCAGCAGCAGCAGCAGCAACTGTATTGATTATCTATTGTTAGGATACTAATAGCTTTTTTTATTGGCTATGGGTATTAAGATATACTATTACTTAAAGACTATATAACTATCGATGTAATGGCATTATTCAATCAGCAGCAAGTAGATATCAGTATTGGTGCCAGTATGTTGATCAAACTAATTTTGAAATATCACTTTTATAAAAAAATTAATCAAATGATAAATATACATAAGTGTGTACGTGTTTGTGCGTTTGCGTGTTTTAACAGTATGTCCTGATATTTTCTCCATAATATCACAAATAAATGTTTAATTAAATAACTTTGTTAATAAATGTTTTGCTATTAGCTTATTAGAGTATGCTTATAAATGTCTTAAATCGTGGAAAGTAATTTAGAATGTCAAATCAATATGCTAGCGATATATAAGTACTCTGCAATTTCTTTGTAAAACTTGAAACATTTAAAATGATAAATATGCGAGTGAATTCTAAGAGATATGAAAGATGACATGATGACTAATAGGTAACCAAACGTCACTTGTGATGCCCAAAAATTAAAAGTATTTCCTCTCACATATAATCATGACACTTTATAATCTGAATAACAATTGAAATAACTCTGAAGTGTTTTATTACTTATTCGATTAATTTCGACTAACATATATATATATATATATATATATATATATTTTTTTTTTTTTTTTTTTTACGTACTATCAAACATTATCCATAGTAAAGAGTTTGTAATTATTTTTTAAATCTTTTTTAGCTGCGAATGAATACAAACATTAAAAATAATTTTTCTTTTAGATTGACGTGCCCGGAGCCTTATTTCATAAGTGAGGCCTTATATTGCAATCCGGAGGAGTTAGAAAATATTCGCGAGGTAACGCTGTGCGTCATTACTATTGGCAAATTTATCATGGATCCATCCGAAGTAAGTATTGATTTTCACACTATACTGTAGATATTAGTATATCTAATATTTAATTTTCCTATGGCTTTCAATTAAATTGCCTCCCATAAACTCTAATGATATATTGAGACATTAAGCAAATCAATATTTAAAAATATTCAAAAGGCTGTTTGTTCATCAATTTTCTGCGCTCGAGTGTTAATAAGTCGCAAAATGTTGATTGATCAATAGATTACATTCTCATAGCATAATGACACCGTTTGGTTGCGTGTTCTTTCTCGCTTGAAATATAAAAACGTCTATGGGCTTGATTAAAAGAAAAATACCGTCTAAGTGTAAGTAGAAAAGCCTCTTGTATGACACCCACGCGAAATATAATTAAAATATTATACATATAATTATTAGCACGCGTCTCTGTGTAAAAGTTTGAGCTCGAATTCACAGACGCGATAAATATATCCTCGGCTCTGTGTGTATTGCAAATTATGCATTATATATAACCTTCCGTATCATTATGTACTTTATTAAATTCAATCGACCTAAATATATCTGGAGTGAGGAAGATGTAATTAGATATTTTATTATTAGGTAGCTTGTGTAGCCAATTAACGCTTTATGGCATGCAAATATTTCATATTTCAAGAACATAGGTTAACTTAAAAAAAAAAAAAAAAAAAAAAAAATTGCCTCTTAATCTCTGCTTGTTGCTTGTACTTTAATTTATAAGTAGGTATGCTTATAAATAAAATAATTATACATATGAGATAAAATGTGCAGGCTTCGGGATTATTGTTGCTTCTGACGTTTTGATTGAGAAGCAAACGCAGGAGTAAAATCTGTGATGAAAATCGCGTTAATTGGCACTTGAAGTTTTAGTGAAATTATATTTCGAAAGATTAGTCATTGGCATGACAAATAAAATTTTTTATCTATATTATTTAATTATATTGCACAATCACTTTTCAATGAATAATGTAGTACTTACATAAAAAAAAAATTATATAATGAACATCGATAAAATGATTTTGTAATTGTAAATGATTTTGTTAATTAAACTATGTAATTAAGACTATGTATTTAAAGAAAACAACAACAACCGAAAAAAAAAAAAAAAAAAAAAAAAAAAAAAAAAAAAAAGAAATAAGAAACAAAACAGATGATTGGTAAGAAGTAAACAAATTTTTTTAAGTATTTATAATGCAAATTTATAGTGATACATTCTCTAATATTTGTTCATATTATCCTTTCAAAATTATTCTTTGTAAAATTAAATGTAAATTATATAAGATATTATAAAAAAAAAGCAAGCCAATGAGCAATGAAAATGTTATGTAATTGAATCTGCTTAGATGAAGATTCAAATAAAATGTCCGAATATCATCATAAACATAATAACTTTTTAGAAAGTGTTTAAATAAGAATTATAAATATATTGTCCAAAGCTTCTCATTCCCTTAATTTATATTTTGCATAAATCGACCTTTATTATATATATATATATATATTATATATATATATATATATATATATATATATATACGTATACATAAACGAGATTTTCCGTCACAACGCACATGTGATGTATCTACTTTAATAATTTTGCTACTCATAATTTACCACTTGAATTACAAATTTATCACGCTGTCATTATAATAGTTGTTAATAAAGAAATTTTCGCAAATAGAAGCGTAATAAATTATAAATATATAAAATTGAATAAATTATTACATCTTAATTACAAATGCTGTTATAGAACGATAAAACGAAATAATTATAAAGTGTTAATTACGTAGATTAAATTTCTTTTGGCAATAAGGATAGCCTTATATTGTGAATCCTTTCAAATATTAAACTATTATTATCATGTTAATTTGAGCACATAATTATTATCGATTATACTCAATTGTGCCGTAATAGAAGTTTCCAAATGAAAGGCTTCCTTATAAATATCCAACTCGTAAATTATTCTCATCTTTCTTAATGCTCATAATGTTAAATTAATATTCAATCAAATACGCCGAGAGGTAGGATATTCGTTTACACGTCAATGAAAAATCGGACTACATTGCCCGGCAATACGGAGCAGTTAAAAAAATTTACTTTGATTATAGAATTTACTCAAAATAAGATTTTTTTTTTTTTTTTTTTTTTTTTTTTTTTTTCTTTTAAATTTTTTTTTTTTTTTTTTTTTTTTTTACGATTAAACTTGTTACTTTCTTACATATTGATATGTATCTACTCAGTTTCTTAAAGCTTTGATAAGCTGTAGAAAAAAGCAATATAAACAATTATTTACTTAATGAAAACCAAACCACACTCTCGTTACTTCAGAAGCGTAAACATTTAAAATTCTTCATTCAAATACATAAATTAAAGTTAAATATTTTATTTTTTAAAAATAAACGTCGTCTATTTAATAAAATTATGTTTTATTATGAGTGAATATAAGCTGAGAATATAAGTAACCGGTCAGTCTACTGTACGTACGTACTCCATACATCTTCTTAGAGATTTTTTTATCTATTTCATCTTCTATATAATATGACAAATATTTTTTTATGCAGACTAAGGTATTCATTTCGTCATTTATTCTTCAATGCAGAATTCTACTGTACATTAAACTATTTAAAATAAATATAAATTCATTAAATCCAGATGTATGAAGCAGCAGGTAGAATTTGCCTCAGCGTGTGCATGCAATATAAATAAAATGAGCGTATGTTAAAGGCGGGGGAGGTCGTATCGTGGCTTCTCCTTTTCTCTCACAGATCACTAATTAAATGAAACGGCTAATTAGATAAGTGATAAAAGGTTATGGGGATTCGCCGTATCTTTTTCCTTTTCTCTTACCTCCTATCCTTTCTCTTTACCTTTTTGAGAATCTCTCGATTCTCGTTAGAACAGTGCATTATCTCCATCCCTCCCTCCCTGTCATTGCCACTTTCGTTCGATCTCCGCACACACTCGCACACGCACACGCGCACACCGCGTCTTTATCGATTGCTGTAAGAAAGGATGAAGTCTGAGCGTTAGGCATATAAACTGTGACCTCGTGATTAATAATAAGCCCTCTCTTGTATATTTAAGTGCATGTGTTTGAAGCTTAGTGTACGAAGAGCCTGATTCATGTACTGTATTAAGGAAATGAGCGGGTGAGTATTCGATAGGTCATTTTCGATTGGAATCGCAAACCTTGCAATTTATGATATTCATAAAGCATTGCGTATAGACACTAAATTATTTGTGAACAGCGCAAATACAAGCAAGACTCATTCGGCCCCCAAGATTAAATTTACGCTGAACATTCTCTATCCGTTCATCTGTCTATCTCTCTCTCTCTCTCTCTCTCTCTCTCTCTCTCTCTCTCTCTCATCTTCCTCCTCTTTCCATCTACCTCTTTATTTTTCACCATCGCTTTTTATTCTTTCGCACTCGGCATTTCGCTTACTCTTCCTTGTCTTGAAGAAAGATAAAAAAAAAAAATTTGCCGTGGTGGAGGTGAAAATACTTTTACTCTCTAAATATAAACAATTTACGGTAGAATAGATGACGCGTTGTTAATTTGTAAAGTTAGAAGTTTGCCGTATCAAGAGGAATGATGAGATCCTTTGATGACTAATACGTTAAGTGACGTAAAAACGTATGATCGTCTTTCGATGACAAGCAATTGGTTTTGATTGTTTCAAACATTAAAATTTATACATTATCATGTGATAATAAGATGTTTTTCAATAACTAAATCTCATTATATAGGAAGCATGAAAAAAATCATTGTATACAAAACGGGTAATATACTTTTTTCTAATGAATTTCAAATGAATATAATTATATTCATTTATATCATCAGCTTTAATAATTTTTTATTTTACCTTTTTCATACAATCAAGCATTAGAGCAAGAAAATTTAAGAAGAGAAGAAAATTAAAATACTAATCAAGTTGATTATTTATTTAATAAAGAACAAAAAACAAAGAAACAAACAAAGAAACAAACAAAGAAACAAACAAAAAAAAACAAACAAAAAAAAAACAAACAAAAAAAACAAACAAAACTAATGGAATGTAATGTCATTGATTTGCGGTTGAAAGTGAAATTTTATGACATACACCGATACATAGCAATAAAAATTCAGTCGGCGTTGTGTCATTGAGGTATGCTTATAATATTAGATGAATTTGCTTCATTAAACGTATATCATAAATTAATATATTCTAATTATTATATTTAAATTTTTATATTACATTATCTAATAATGGAATGATGAATCGAATTGAAAATATTCTCTTGGTTAATGTCAATATTTATTAATCGATGTATTAATAAATTTCAAGCGGCTTTAAATGCTTTTATGTAGATTATGCTCGAGCGAGAGTAATAAATGGTAATGCGCCTGTGGAATACTCAATTGACACGCGTGAGAAAATTCATTAATTAAGATTAATAATAAGACCAACTTTCCAAACGCAAATCATTGTATTGTAAATCATTGTAATGTCATTTTGGAAAAAAAAAATTTTTTTTGTTTAATTCCTAAGCGTTTTTTACCGCTGAATAAACGTAGTGACGGATTTTGAAAAATGTGATTGCCAAACCGAGTATTTGATTGGTAACGAGGCAGTAAGTTCGATAACAATACGCAATCCCTCTGTCACGTTGCAAACAGCCCTTTCTAAGCAACTGCCATTACACAAAAGGGATGGAATAGGATACATAGAGGCACACGCACACACAGTCGCACACATGCGAATATCAAGAGGTGAAAGCAATGCTTTTTATTCAGGCTGCGTTTGTCGTGTAAGATTTCATGTAAGATCTAGTTCTTATCTAGTTTTCGCACGGCTCATTACCTATCTGGGATCCATGGAGGGTTATATATTTATATGTGCGGCCAGTAGTGGCAAGCCGACGCCATCGCCGTAGTGCCCGCGAGATAGTTATTATAATTGCTTGTCGCTCGCCGCGTGATTTATAGAGGCGCGGCACTAAGCGCTCGCTCTTTAGCTGTTAATCTCGCTCCATAA